GGGCGCATGCGTCGACTTGGTGTTGAAGCAGAATGCGCGTGAGTACGCTACCTTCTGAGAAGCTTGGCGTCGCGGCGCGGTGACTTGGAAGCGCAGCCGCGGCGGAGACCTCGGACTGTTTCTCGTGGGGCGCAATGGGCGGCCAGCTGAGGATCATCTGGCGCGCGATTTATCAAGTGCGGTTTCTTGCTGGCACCGCCCGCGCGTTTGCCGGCTGCCGCCGGCCGATTCTGCTTTCGGATCGCTGGATGTTGATCAGAAAGTGTTCATCGCATCATGAAGCTTCGAGGCGGCCTTCTACCGCGCGTTGGCGGCGCCAGAGGTGGGGCCGTTTTCGTTGCCGAGCCTTTGTGTGTGGCTGGTGCTCAGCTGCGGCGTCGCTGGGATCCTGGCGGGCGCCGACGAGCCGCTCTCGCCTTGCCTTCGCGCCCCGCCAATGGGCTTCTCGTGGGCCCTGCGCTCGTGTCAGGGCTTTCTTCGCCGAGGCCTCAGCCGAGGTGGTTCCCCGCCCAGCGGCCTCGTCGCGGGCGGGCAGGCCGGGCGGCGGGCGCCGCGCGCGGCGGGCTACGCCGACGACTTCTTCGTCCTCCAGGCCGACGCCGCCATGGCGGGCCAGCGCTGAGATGCGACGTAGGGGCAGTTCGAAGAGTAGGGCCTCGTCGTCCACGACCGCGAGGCCGCCTGCCACGTTGCCGAGTTTCGAGTTCGGAGCGCGGGCGTTTCCTGGCCGCTCGCCCGCAAAGCCCACTGCGGCTGAGGCCCGCGATCGAGGTGCTGCCCCGTGCCAGCAAGTGCAGCATCCCGCTCGTGGAATTCCTGCTCGGGCACGCGGCGTCGGTTTCGCTGCTCCGACGGGGCGCGCCGCGTCTGATGCAGACCTCTGGCGCCCTCGCAGCCGAGGCGGGGCCGCGGCCCATCGTGTTGGGGCAGGCCGTGCGGCGCGAGCTGTCGCGGATGAGGTGCCTCTTGCCGCTGCTTCGGGCGGGCGCGATGGCCCCGCGGCGCGCGCGCGGGTCGCCGCGTCGGGCGCGCCCGAGTTTGGCTTCTGGCCGGTTCGGCGCCGATTTCCAGCTCCGCGAGTTGCGGAGGTCGGGCGGCAGTCAGAGCGCCGGCGTTGCCGCGTTGAGGGGGCCGCCTCGCCCTTACCGAGCTGTTCGACTGCGGCTGTCTCAGAGGCCGCCGCCTTCTCGAAGGCCCTTTGAGTTCCTAGACGCGCCCGAGACTGGCTTCGACGAGGTTCCCGGAGACATTCCTGTGACATCGCCCTGGGCTGGGGTCGCTCCCGTTCAGATCTGCTCCGGCCGCCCGCCGTCTTCTCTTCTGGGAAGCGCTTGGCGGCCCGAGTGGACAGTTGGCCATTGGCCTTGGCGGCCGCGGAGGTCCGTGCTCGATGGGTGTATCGTAGAGAGCGTCTGCGCAAGCTTGCAGCCCCTAGCTTGGCCTCGGGGTCCCGCGTGCTTGCCCGTTGGGTCGGTTCCGAGATCATTCCATCGGATCCGTATTCGCATTGGCTGAGGGGCTGGTTCTTTGGCCCCCGTCGGTCGAGGCCTCGGGCGGCCCCCGGCGCGGCGACCCCTCCCAATGCCGCGCCGTCCGTTCCGGTCGCCTGGGGGCAGACGACGGGCGGCTTCTCGTGCCCGGCCGGCGCGACGCCTGCTGACTGGGCGCCCAAAGTCAGCTTTTGGCTTGGGTGGTGGCCGCTGGGGGCGGGGGGCAGCTGGGCAGCCCCCGCCCTGGCGCACTTCTTCCCCGCGGTTCGCTGGCCAGGGGGGGTTGCTCAGGCTCAGAGCTGGAGGGCGGCCATCGCCTGGGGGCGGAGGGCCCCCAGCTTCGCATGGCGCCCGTTGCCCAGGTCGGCGGCGCATTCGAGTGCCGGAGTATCGCTGGCCCCCGGCGAGATTCAAGCGGCGTTCTGGATCACGGCGCCTTTGCTGACTGCCTGCGGCCGCGCGAATTCTTCGAGCTCGAAGCGCGGCGCCTGGCGGGGCCGGCGGCCGCCGCTGGCTTGGTTCACCCAGCGCAGGGGGCCCTCTTGTACGATGTGGCGGCACGCGCCGGGTAAAACTGTGTTATTCGAGGAGTCTGTGCTGGTGGGCATGGGCGGCTGGCTCAGCCCTCTGCTGCCGGCGCCCCGCCCGGGCTCGGACCCGGGCGGGCGTGTTTGATTTTTCAGACCGTCGGAGGTCGGAGCTGCGATCCGCGTTTTCCCGGCCGTTGCTGCGCTGCGCGCGGGAGCTTGCGGCCGCGCCTGTGCTCTTTCAGGCGCGGCGGCGCCTCTGGCGACTTGCTCGCCAAGCGCCGCGCGGTGGTGCCCGCTGCGCGAAGGAGTCGAAGTGGCCGCGGGAGGTCGGCCTGACCCCAGAGGCGTTTCTCGCGTTCGGGGAGTTTGTAAACAGCCACTTTCAGCGGCCAGTGGAGGATGGCTTCCTCCACTTGGGCTTCCTCCAGTCGGGCCTCGACGGCGCTGTGCCAGACGGGTGGCGGCTGCAGGTCAGACGCCCCGCCGGGGCTGCGACCGCCGGGCGTCCGGGCCCGGGCTTCCTGAGCTCGGGCCAGACGGCCCGCGGGCGCCCCGCGGCCGCCGTGGCGCTCGCTGGCAGGGCGCGGCGCCGCGGGCGTGGCTCGCCGGCTGCAGCGCGAGCTCGGCGCAATCCTGCAGCGGCCACCTGGCGGCGACGCTGTGTTCTCTGGAGCTCTTTGCTGGCTCTGGCGCGGGGCTACATGCGCGGTTGCGTCGCTGGATATTCAGATTGGCGCGCGCGGCATGTTGTTGTTGAGCGTTGCTGGTGAGCTCCTGGCAGGCTGGGTCTCCGCAGGCGCCGTGCTGGGAGTCTGGCTTGGAACTCCTTGTGATGCGTGGTCACAGGCCCTGGGGCAACCCATCCTGTCGCTTGTTTTTCCTCTGGGCCTTTACCTCTCGCAGGTGCCCAGCGTGCGCGTTCGTGCGTTGGAAATGCCATATTCCATGTCTCTTGCCGTCCTCCTACGTGTTGCCGAACATCGAGTGTGCCCACTTTTGGAAAACATCCTCGCGGATCGCTGATGTGGCAGATCCCTTGTCTGCAGATCTTGCCACGCGGTTTCGGCTCCTCTGAGGCTCAGTTGCGTTAGTGCCAAGTCGGCACCCCTTGGAAAAAGTTCGCGCGACTCGTGGCCTGGTTTTCGGGGGGACTCCAATCGGTTGCATCGCTGGTGCCACGCAGACGGCAAGTTCTGTTTTCGCATTGGTCGTCCTCGCCAGGAGGTCGCAGGTCATGCCCATGGAGGGCAGCATTGGGTTGCCGTTGCCGCCGCCTGCCCTCTCCCGGTGCGCCGTGCTTTCTACCTTCTTGCTCGTCCTCTCCTTCGTTCCCGCTCCTTCTGCACGCCTTGGCGAAGCATGCTCCGTTGAATGGTTTGCTTCGCATTACATTAGCATTGGGGGTCTCCGAGCGGCGCCTGGGCGCCGGATCTTGTCACAGGTGTGAAGAGATGCGCAATGCGCCTTGCTCAGGTCCCGACAAAGACATCAGCGCTGGCGTTCTTGGGCGTTAAGGCTGCAGGATCTCTTCAGATCACGTAGTGATCGGACATTCTCAGTCTCATTCTCCCATTCCTGTCTTCTTCCTCTCCCTCCCTCCTTCCTCCCGGTTCCCCTTGGTTTTGGTTCCTGGTCCCTCCCTCCTCCCTCCCTCCTGGAACAACGACTTCTGGTTTCGGAAGGGACCAATTGGGTCTTACCCTTCATTGTTTTTGTTTTTTCCTTGGGCGTTCCTCGTGAATCTAGGCGCGGTTGTCGCCCAACAACAGCTTTTGCTCTTCACTGTGCTCGAGGCCCCTTTGTTGCAATAGCCCGATTGTACGTGTTGATGGCCAGCTTGGATGGATCCACCTTCGGCGCGGGGAGAAAATGGCGAGGACGGTCGTGCAGCAGGGTTGTCTGCCGATTTCCCAAATCGAGATGGACACTGGTCAGGCGTTCGCGCTGTCAGTTTCGAATGTCGCCCCTCCCCCTCCGTTTTTTCTTCCGTTGGGGACAACACCACGAAACCTGATCCCTCCTTTGGGGCAGTTTTCTCTGTGGTGGTACCTGGCATTACGGTTGGCAATCGGAGGGGGGGTTCAGTAGCGACACGATTTGCGTCAACTGGCTACCGTAAACCACTCCCGGACGGCGCCAGCGCGAATCGTGACCTTTCTGGGGGGAGGGGGGTCGGATACTGGTCACGGGCTTCATCGTTCATCGTCAAGACAAATGAGTTCCTCATGCCACTGCTGCCTCGTGCCCCGTGCCTTCTGTGTCGTGGATCGCCCGCGATCGCGAGCATCACTGTGTTTCGCGCACCTCGTCCTGGGCCGGGGAGGTTATGTATTCTTGGGGGGAGGTGGCGTGGGAGGCAGGCGGCGCATGGGCGCGGAGATGACCGCGCAGCGTGCGGAACGAAGCGGGGCGAAGTCTGATGACCTGCCCCCTTTCACGCATAACTGACGCAATTCGAGGCACGAAACACGAAACACGATCACCATGGTGCACATGTCAGGGATTTGGTCGACGCCGATCTTGGTCATGGTCCATGTCTGCCGTCGTCGATTCGCCAGGAAGATCAACGAATTGACGATGGTCAAGATGGACGATGACCGATTTCGTCACCCACGGTTCCGCGTTCAGTCTTGGTCATGGTCGTTGTCTTCCCTCCCTCCCGCAATGCCTCCTGCTCTTTCGGAGCCCCCCAGAAACCCCCCAGAGCGCCCCCGGGCGCCCGAGGCCGCCCAGAACCCCCCCCCCAAGGCGTCCGACGCCCCTCGGTCCTCGGCCGTCGGGGACGAGGGCGAAGGCTGCGCTGCCGACGCAGCGCGCTGCGGGCGCCCCGCGCCACTCCGCGCCCCGCAGCCCCGGCCGCGGCCTCTGCTCGCCCGCGCGCGGGGTGCGGGCGCCGTCCTCGGCCCGCCCGCGGCGCGGGCGCCCGCGCGCGATGTGAGCCGCCCGCGGCGCGGGCGCGCGCGCGCGCGCCCTTTCCGCGATGGCGGCGGGGGAGGCGGCGGCGTTCGACTTTGCCGAGGCTCCGCCCCCACGGGGGAGGGGGGGAGGCTGGCGGAGGAGGAAAGGAGAAGCAGACGACGCGTAGCGATCCACGTGACACTCAAAAGAGAGTGGGTAGGAGCAAGGCGCATGCACAGAGGTCGTTGTCATGCGAGTGATAAGGAGCGTCGTGCAACGAAGGAGCAAGGGCGTGATCTGGGGAGAAGCAGACGAGTGAGGAGGAGGCGGAGGAGGAGGAGGAGACGGAAGAGGATGAGGCGAAGGGGGAGACAACGGATGATGAAGAGGAGGCGACGGAGGAGGAGGAGGAGGAGGAGGAGAAGAAGAAGGAGGATGATAATAAGGAGGCGAAGGAGGAGGAGCAGACGAAGGAGGAGGAGGAAGAGGAGGAGGAGGAGGATGAAGAGGACGAAGGTGAGGAGGAGGAGGAGGAGTCGGAGTCGGAGGAGGAGGAGGAGGAAGAGGTGGAGGAGGAGGATGAAGAGGACGAAGATGAGGAGGAGGATGAATCTGAGTCGGAGTCGGAAGAGGAGGAGGAGGAGGAGGAGGAGGAGGAGGAGGAGGAGGAGGAGGAGGACGCGGAGGACCATTTTAAACTCAAGGCGCATTGGCGATGTTGCAGTAAACCCTCCCTTGAAGTTCTCTTCTCGTAGGGCCCTTTCTCAAGAGGCTCACGCCATTCCGCTGACCCCAGAAGAGGCGGGGAATCCACGGTTGCGGCGTCGTGGGCTTCTAAGGCATTATCTGGGTACTCTTGTGGGCGTCTTGGGAGCTTTTTGGGGGCTTGGCGGAGCCTCTTGGCAGCACTTTTGAAGTGTCTTGGGGCCCCTTTTTTGGCTTCTTCTGGGCCTCTTGGGGGCCTCTCGGGGCGTATTGGGGGCCTCTTTTGGGCCGCCTGGGGGCTTCTTGGAGCTCTTGGGGGGCCTCTTTGGGGGTTAATATAGGATGTTCGTGTTCTCTCTCTTTGCCTCTCTTAGGGCCTCTTGCGGCGGTCTTTGGTCGTCTTGGGCGCCCTTTTCGGGCCGTCTTGGAGCCCTCTTGGGCCGTTCTGGGGCCCTCGTAGGGGCTTCTTGGGCAGTTTTGGGCGGTCTACGGACTTAAAAAGTGGTTGAAGGAGAGGCTGTATAGCGAACGCTATATCCCACGCTGTCCTGGCTCAAGGCAGCGCTGTCTCATTTGCTAGGTGCACAGCCCTAAGTACTTTCACTTGCGGACGTAGCAGCGGACTAAGGCCACGTCCTTCCATCATCCACCTCCCTTTCCCACGGTTTCTCTCTTACCTCTCGTCTTGCTTGTCATCAAGAGATGAGTTGTGGGATACCTCTGAACGTCGCCGGCGTCATCCTAAGAGTAGGGTTCCCAGCTGATTATCTCATGGTCAAGCCCAGTACCTTTTTCACTTGGTAGGGGAGCTGGCTTCATCTTCATGAGGCTGGCTCTTATATCAGGTGTAATGTACATAACAACTTACCACGGCACAGTGGGGTGCCCGTCTGCGCCGGCTCTCTGCCACCAAACTTCCAATACTCTCAAACCAACTGGCAACTTAAAGTCCCATGCCTCCATTTCCCCACCGCGTGGCCACGCGCCACGCACGACCCAAACACCGATATGTATCCACAAGTTGACGGCCACGTCAGGCCAGACACCCATTCGCAACTTTATGGGCGCTGCAATATCCAATGGCACGCAACCTAACATCATCAGCTGCAGCATGACTGTGCACTATGTTGAGGTCGCCATATTTGAAAGAGCGTGTTCTACCGCTGCTGGCGGAAAACCGGGGGGGGTCACTGCCGGTTCGAACCCCCCCCCCCTCCAGAAAACCGGGGGGGGTCACTACCGGTTCGAACCCCTCCCCCCCCCCCCCCCTGCTCATCATGAAAAGGGGGGGGGTCACTACCGGTTCGAACCCCTCCCCCCCCCCCCCTCCGGATCCGGAAAACCGGGGGGGGTCACTACCGGTTCACACCCCCCTCCCCCTCGAAAACCGAGTGGGGGTGCGGACAGTGGTGGGGACGGTGTTGGTGGGGACAGTGGTGAGGGGACAGCGGGACAGTGGTGGGGACAGTGGGGCAGTGGGACAGTGGTGGGGACGGTAGTGGTGGGGACAGTGGTGGGGACAATGGTGGGAACAGGGGGGGACAGTGGACAGTGGTGGTGACGGTGGTGGTGGGGACAGTGGTGTGGGGACAATGGGAATGAGGTGGAAACAGTGGGACAGTGGAGGGTACAATGGTGGTGGGGACAGTGGTGAAGGCGGTGGCGAGGACGGCGGTGGGACAATGGGACAGAGGTACAGTGGGGACAGTGGTGGGGACAGTGGGGACAGTGGTGGGAACAGTGGGACAGCTCAGTGGGACAGCGGAGGAGTCAGTGGGACAGTGGGGACAGTGGGGATAGTCGGGCAGTGGTTGGGGCCGTGGAGACAGTGGGGAGAGTGGAACCGTGGTGGGAACAGTTCTGGGGACAGCGGGGACAGTGCGACAGTGGTGGGGCCACTGGTGGGGACAGTAGGGGCGGTGGTGGAACCAGTGGGGACAGCGGTGGTGAGGACAGTGGTGCTGGGAACACCAGTGGGGGATGTGATGCGGACGGTGGTGGGGACCGGGAGTCGTTTGCTGGCGGTGAGTAGGGGGGGGGGGGGGGGGGGTGCGAACCGGTAGTGGCCCCCCCGGTTTTCCGGATCCGGAGGGGGGGGGGGGGGGGAGGGTTCGAACCGGTAGTGACCCCCCCCGGTTTTCGAGCGGAGGGGGGGGGGGGGTAGGGTAGGGGGGGTTTTGCCGGGGGAGGGGGGGGGGGGGGGGGTCCAGCAGGGGGGGCGGATTTTCGGAGGAGGGGGGGGGGGGCGACCCCCGGGTTCCGGAGGAAAAGGTTGGCAACTTTCCACAGTAAAGCGGCGGTGGATCGCGCTCTCTCCCATATTTAGAACCATCTGGGTGTGCCTGGGCCTTGCCGTGGTATGCGTGCGAGGAGGAGTGATGGATGAAACGCGCACTCGGGGTCCCTTCTGGGGCCCCCCGGCAGCTAACATACCCTTTCCGCGATTTTGTTCGCATGGATTAACGACGCGAGCGGAAGTATGACCCCACCCCAACAGGCAGTTGCTTTACAGCGCGGCCAAGGGGAATTGGCTAGGACACTAGCCTTTAACGGCGTTGCAGGGCCGGGGAGACGCGCCGATGAAGTCACAGACATCATGTATCTACAAAGCACCAACTTCGAAAACCTTGAGGACGAGCGACAGCTCACATCAAGGACAGCCTTTCTCGACTTCAGAGTCGAGAGAAGCGAGCGTTTTGATTCAGTACTGGCTCGATTCGAGATTGCCAGACTGGAAGCAGACCTAGCAGGCTTCAGCATAACCAACTTCTGGGTCCTCACTCTGATCTTGTTTCGTGCCTCGAGGGTTGGCGCCTCCCGAGGCGGCCCAAATACTGCAAGCGCTGAATCACCATATGCCCCGTGTTCAACAACAGTGCGACAAACTCTTGGAGCGATTGCGCAACCATGGACACTTGGCTGGGCATTCCCCAGGGGGCGTCGGGAACATCTGCAGCGGACGCAACGCTGGCACTTGCCATGCTGAAGTAAGCGGCACACCGGCAGCCATGCCGAACAGCATCTGGAATGACGGAGAGCCCACCGAATCCACGACGCTCTTAGGCCTTGCCGCCCACAATAACAACGAACAGGCGTCTGGCTCAAACATGGGCTTGCCGCCAGCGGCCTGCTACGCGCCACCTGGCGCGACTGTCCTCTGGGGCTCGCCCAGCCGACGAGACGACTGCGTATTCGGTTCCGGTGCAGATGCCGATGCGGTTTGTTGTGGGCGCCCAACGCCATCGAAAGCGCGCGCGCTCGCTTGTGCTGCGTTGTGCGCGGGCACAAATTTCGCGCCCGCGCCTGGCCCGCGCGCGGGCAGGCAAGCTGGGCGCGCGGGCCGCCTCCCGCTTTCCTGCGCCGCGCGGCGCGCGGCCCCGCGAGAAGGGCCCGCGCGCGCGAGGCGGGGGGGCGTCAGCATGTGCCTCGCGGCGCGCGGCCCCACGCGAAGGGCTTGCGCGCGCGGGGGGGGGGGGAGCGACGGCGCGTGCCTCGCGGCGCGCGGCCCCGCGCGAAGGGCCCGCGCGCGAGGGGGGTGCGTCGTCACGCGCGTGGCTAGTCTGCTCTTCTGCTCGCTTTGCGTCGAACGCCCCGTGCAGGCGCGCCGCGGGGATCGCGTCGGGGCGGTTCGCGGCGCGCCTCGGGGTCGTGCGATGTGCAGGCATTCGTGCTTGCATCTCGCAGGCATGTGCGCTTGCGTCCCGCCGTGGCGGACGGCGCGCGCGCTTTCGCAGGTGCATCCATCTTCCTCTTCGACAAGATCCCCTCGTCTGTTTTGCTGGCTCGATCGAGGTCAGGACTTCCCTCTGGCGTGGGCTGGCCCACGCTCTGGCTCCGCCCTCGCGCGTTCTCTCGGCTGGTCTCCTCGCGCGCTCGCTTGCCCGCGTGGCTTCTCGCGCGTTGTGTGCGCCACCTGCTCCTCGTCTGGCAATTCTGGGGCCCTCTTGGTTCCTTCGCTGGCGCAGGCCAATAAGGCTTGCCCCCGCGCGGGCGCATATCGTCCGTCGTCCCCGCGTGGCCATGCGGGGCCAATGCGGCTTTCGCAGGTGCGCGGGCCCAGTCGGCCCATGCAGTTGGCGCTCTTGCACCCAATCGGCTTCCAACGCTGGTGCAGGCCAATGCGGCTTGCTATCGCACGGGCGCATATTGTCCGTCGGCCCCAAGTGGCCGTGCGGGGCCAATACGGCCCTCGCAAGTGCTCCGGCGCAGGCCAATACGGCTTGTCATTATACGGGCGCATACTGTCCGTCGGCCCCACGTGGCCATGCGGGGCCAATACGGCTTTCGCAGGTGTGCGAGCCCAGTCGGCCCAAGCTGTTGGCTGCTCTTGCACCCAGTCGGCTTCCAACGCTGGTGCAGGCCAATACGGCTTGCTTTCGCACGGGCGCATATTGTCCGTCGGCCCCGAGTGGCCGT